AGCACAGGGAAACTACAGTGTTAAATATATAATACACTTTATTGCCCCAGCCAGACAACGTGATACCAAAGCAATTTTTCCAACAGCCTTTTGTCCTTATTCTCTGTTTTGGTGGCTCCAGTTAGAGAATTAAAAATAGAGCAGGGTGGAGGCAAAGGGGAATAATCCAAGTGTCAGAGAGTCTTAACTGTGAAGAAAAAAAAAAAGGAAAAAAGCAAGAGACTTCAGAGCAGAAACAGGTTACTAGACCTTGAACCACAGCTGTCAAGAGAACTATTACAGGTCTGCCAAGGAGCAATTAGACTACTTTGCAATATCAGAAGCACGTATCTTCTCTTCTGAGAGGGATCCGAAAAAGGGAAATCAGAGAAGCTTATGGAGTATTCTCTACTGCACTTCAGTTACCTATTTCCTGTTTATTTCCCACTTGAAAAATCACATCCCAGAAACATAATGTAATTTTAAAAAACTTACATTTATGACCATTCCATTTAAAACATTTTGTTGAACAAAAAACACAAAAAACAAATGGAATGCTGTAAACAGATTTAAGTCAGCCACAAAAAACATTCTGACAGATGTTAGCATCTGTGAACATGGATCTTTCACGACACTCCTTTCCAATCTGGGCTCTTTTCAGATAAGAAGACCTCCATTTTTTTTTGTTGTTGTTGTTTATTTCAGTATGCTTTATAAAATGTAAGCTAGGTTTTCCACACCAGAAGGGTGACTTTTCGATATATGAGTCCACCTACTTGGAATGTTAGTTGCAGCACCTGACATTCAACTTCTAGTTGTGCATGCTGCCAGACAGGTTATCCCATTGGCTAGATTTGTTTTAAGATAAACAGTGAAGATCATTGGACAAAGAAAGAGAGGAAAAAAGGAAATCCAACTTTGAAATTAATTAACTTTACAGAATTACTGTTTGCAAAAAACCTGTTTTATACAGAATTACATATGAGCAGACTACTCAGAAACTTGCAACAACTTGCTAGAGCATAATGAATCCCAGCAACTATCATGTTTCTGAGGGCCTGCTCAGAAAGAGAAATGTGACTTTCCCCAAACTTCTGTTTCTTCCAGCCACTCAAACAAATCCTTGGCTTCTCTAAATATTTTGCTCCCCAAGGGTCCTGCTTGCATGGCAGCAGGCCTTTCCACTGCTTTGAGATCTGGCAACTGGCAAACAAAGAGCAAAACCAAAAGAACTATTGATGACTACTGCATAGAGGCTGAGAACATTATGTTTTAAAGTAAATGTACTGCCTTTCCTTTGTTCTTGGAATAGACAGTTATAGCAGGCTAGAGTGCTAATTTTCAGGTAGGAAGCAGGACAAATCATATGCCAAGAGAAACAACCAGAAAATTTCTCTAGTCACCCACAAAGATTTTAAAATGTGGATTCATAGCTATAGCTAGCATTGTTTTATATCAGCAGTGGTTAGCTTTTCCTTCTTAATAGACAACACCCTTTTCTCTCCAGCCTCCTCATCCAAATCTCTGACCAGTTAAACTGCCTAATAGTCCTAAAAATGCATCTATTTTAGTTTCACAAACAACCAGCCATATTCTTTAAGGCATAAAACTGACCAGCTCTATTTTTTACTGAACTCACGTGGCCCACTCAAAACAAACAGATACTGGCAAGAGCAAAATCCAAATTATACACTGCTTTATCCCAGGAACACAAAGTACAAGGCCGACGCAGTGAGTCAGACACCTCAGCACCAGTGAGCTGCTCAGGTTGACAGGAGTTTCTTTGGGATCTCTGTACATGTGAGCCAGGCCTTTTTTGAAAAGAGTCAAAATAATCGGGTTTACACAAACGTGTCATTAGCAAAAGTATCTCATCAGAGGGGAAAAGGCAGTAAAAAGTATGCTAGGAATGCTGGAAATGAGCAGGCAGTCACGGCGAGTCATATTTTCTTCTCTCCCCCCCTCTCTAAGAAACTTCTTCAGCATGAAAAGTCCATTTGCAAGAACAGTTAATTATGGGGGGAAAGGCAAATAATTCAACAATAATTCAGGGAACGTGGGACCAATTTCTGTACAACAGAAGCCAGAGAACTCCTCAGTCTGTGTTATGATTTCTCAGTGTCCTCAGAAAATGCTTTAAATACTTCAGCTAAACAGACTTAAACCCATCAGACGTATCCATTTGTCTATCAGTAAGAAGCCATATTCTACATATGTGTATTTATGAACAATAAAAGCTAGATGCATATAGGCATTTCTGTGATTTTTATCTTTTACCAATTTTTATGTTTTTAAGCAATTAAATGAATCCATTTCCTTACAATGAAAATAGCAGTTTCTCCCACTATTTGCCAGTCTCTTTCTAGAAACTGGATGTCTTGCACAAAATGCATCACTTCTCCTCTTCCACATTTAATTTCATGCCTTTTTTCAGCTTACTGTGTTTTTTATGCTTCCCTGTGGCAACAACATCTAGGTTATTGTGGAGTGCTACAAAAGAAGATACACAATAAAACAGCCTGTCCAAAATACAAACCAAGTGACTATTCATCTACCTTGATATCTAATTACAAACTTCTGTTCATGAAAGAATGAATTATCTAACTCATCTTGCCTCATAAAATACAAACCTTTACGGCAGTTTCACTTCACAAAAAGAAGTTTACAAAGAAAAAAAAAAGTTGTTTTTTTTTTTAGTCACAAAAGAATGAGCCATCAGTTGGTTCAAAGAACTGCCAGAAGGCGTTGGACCCTTTTGCTCACTATCAGGTGACAGACACAGACATTTTTGACAGAGGAGAAAAGTCTCATGTGGATGTCTATCAGGTATGGAAATAGCAGCTGATAAAGCAGTATGAGGTGTTTTCCATTCCTCAGTCTTAGAAGAGTTTGTTCTCTTCTTTGCAAAAGAGAAAGTGGGTTGTTTTTCCTCTTCAGGATCCACGAGACAGTCTGACAGCTGCAAACAAGGACAACCAAGCTCTTTTCTGGGCTGGGATATCTATAAAATGTGAGGAACTCGGAAGAGGCCAGTTTAACAACTGCACATGAGAATAGCCAGCTACAGTATGTACTCAAAAGCAACGGACTCATTTTTTCTTTTATTTCATTTCTATTTCAAGTTTGACATAAGGAGTGCAATCTGAGATTTCTGTTTTCTTTCACCCCATTCCTGTGAAGGGCGTGGGCTCAGGCAGGTTAACTACCTCAAATGGCGTGACTGCAAGTTAAGTATACTTTTGGTTAAAAGTAGGAAAGGAAATACAGAGACAGTATTGTCATTTGAACTCTGCTAGAACTGATGCTGCTAAAAATCAGCTTGAATAATAGACTGCCAGCTGCCTTGACTTGATCAAATTTAGCCCTCTGGAAGAAAAGTCTAGACAGAGGAATACTCACCTCAAAATCACATATTGATGTGAGACTGGAAAAATACTTTTCGTCTCAGTTTTAAAAAAATATATACTACAGCAAGAACAAATTAAACATAAAGCAATGAGTTCACATGACAAGACGTATCGATTGCTTTTAAAAAAATAATGCAAGTTGAGGTTAATATAACTATTATATGCAAAGGAGCTTTTTAAAAAATACTGGGGACACGGCTGTTGATAATTACTTTCCTGTGAGGGATGACTGAGCTTGCATTTTAGGAAAGAACAATCTTCCTGAATTCCTCCTGGAGGAATTTCATTTATCAATGAGTGCTGTAAATTATCCAGTCGCTTACAAGGTAGTGAGAATTGGGAGAATTCCAGTATTTCAAAAGCTCAGGAAGAAGGACCTGTGAGCATGCTACTACCCACCAGCAGGGTGGCTTATTGGAACTCAAATTCTTCAAACCTTGAAGAATCCCTTCAAAGCCTATTGCAAATTACATCTGGAGAGCTCTCAACGGGGCCTTTTAAACTAATTGCACATCTACAGAGCAGAAAACTCTGCGGGAAGAGAAATCTTCTAATGTCCTGAGAGGCCAAACTTAGAAGCTTTATACAATCTCTGCCACTGTAACTTTCCTTAATGAGCTTCCTGAGTGAAAACAAAATTGAATGTATCTTACCTTTCAAATTTTTTAAGTCATCATGAGCCAAACGTTAGTGCAAAACCAAAGGAAGGAAAATCAATAACAGACACAGTGATCTCAGATTGAGAACTGCGGAGAAAGACTCTGAAATCACTATTTGGTCTGAAACCTTGGGGATCATAACAGGAGAAGGAGAGGATGCAGCAGTTCAGTACTGATCAGAAGGGAAAACTGTGCTTGGCATAGCTTTTGTACTTAAGAAAACGAGGTCCCATTCTTGATTCCCTACACAGGAAACAGACCAGTATTAGGATGCAAACACTAAACCAGAAATGCTTAAAACCACTGGTCTGAAGCTGTATGCTCCACAGGTTTTGCCTATAAGATTTATTCATTATTGTTAATGTTTTGACACCAGATCACTTTTTACTGCAGAGAAGCTGAACTGCTGTGACCTCCAGTTTTCCGGAACTCAACAGGAGCCTTTTCCAGTGGCTTCACAATGGAGGTTTGCATGTCTATGCCTATGTTTCTCTAATGGAATCTATGCAAAATCCCCATTTTATAACTCCATCTCTCTCTATATTTCTCTTTTGCTTCAGGAGACCACTCTATCAGCATAACTTACTAGCAGAGCGTACTGGAGACTGAAATAGGTAAATGGTAAATAACAGTTATTTTGTTAAACGCAACGAACAGTGTAAGATGTTGAAGATCATCATTGGTTTTAAATTAAATTCCCATTAATTTGTTTTAAGTCTTCTGGTGATGACACAAGCTATAGACAAACCCTTCCCTCCTTTGGGCAGGACTACTTCTGTGTCACACCATACCGACTAAATAACTACACCACTTCCATCAAGAGCTCCACACTTTGCTGAGCATGCTTATTCCCTGCAGGCTGGCGATTAAGAATGACATTTCCAAACTCCCTCCTTTTTAGTTTCTCATATATCACAGCCTCAACAGAAAAATTCCCATGCATCTTACTACTCACCTAACATTTGGTGGATCTGAATTTATGATGGGTGTTGCACAAAGAGGCTTGTTTCCTTGAACGTGGCTTCCATAACCTCTTGCAGGCAAACAGTACACCCTTTGGATAACGACTCGTACATGCGCTTCTTTCCAACCCACTGCTCCCTGGCTTTCCACCATTTCAAGCAGAGAATCATTAACAGCACTCTGTGCTAAGGGATGCTTTTCCGAATCATAGTTGTTACAGATTTGTGGAGCACAAGCGACCTGGCGAAGGAAAACCCATTAATAGAAACATTTCATGGGGGCCTTGAAACTATGCAGTGCTAAAGAGTAAAACTTCAGCATGAAAAATCACTGAAAGAAATGCAAAATCAGTTTCAAAATACCTACTGCACCTAAACTATCTTACAGACTAGTGGCCAGTATTTACTATTGATTTTTAATGACCTCTCAAGAGAGCTGAGCACACACAGTGCTCTCCTGTATTTAACTCATACTCTGCACTGACCTAACTCAGTCCATGAGAGATGAGGGTGACACCAGCAGGAAAACAATTGATACCAGTATTTATGATTCTTCCCTTTGAACTGAGTTTCATTTTTAGTTTGTTGATATTTTGTTCCTTCCTCTTCTAAAATGGGTCAACTCCAACTTGAATGCTTCTGAACTTTAAGTTGAAAATGAACAGGTGTCTAGTTTCAGAGAACAGTAAGCTAGTCCTAAGACTTGCACATTTCAATGTAAAATGTTTCAATGTAAAAGAATTAGATGATTAATGAAAAGTATAGAACTTTAGAAGTCCAATCCTCCTTCCAAAAGTAGGTTCCAAAGCACTTCATTAATTTTAAAACATATTTTATAAATAAAATCTTCCAAACTCTCAAATTATATGAATAAAATTCTGCTAGACTGTGCCTTAATCTAAATGAGTAATTTCATTAATTTTAAAATAAATTTCTCAGTAAAAAGTGTATGCAAGCATAGACTAACATGATCGATATATATCGATGGCTAAGCACCATGGGGGAAACGAGTGAATTGTTCTGGTTTTTGAATACCACAGTAGAAGCTTTTTACAAGGTAGAACTGAAGCAAGAAAGGAGAGTTGATTTATGTAACTTTTCCATTCCCAGGCCTATCATGGGAATTACATATAAGGCAAACACAAAATGTTGACACTCAGTGTTGTTCATCAAACCTGTAGGGCCAAACTTCTCAGATACTAAGTATTAAGAATGATTTTGGGTGGCCAAAATAAAGCCTTTACAAGAGAAAGTGCTAGTACGGACTATCAGAACACCAGATCTCTTAGAATACCTCAGCTTGCAGAACCACAGATAGAGACATGCACAGTCAGTAGTCACTTTACCATAAAGTCAAAATAGGAAAGAAAACAAATTAAAGGCGCAGGAAAGGGCGATGGTGTTATTACCAATTGGTGCTTTAAAGAAAGCATAGGATTGCTTAGGAAATGAGTTAAGAAATAATGTGAAAAAGGAATGTTTATTTAAAATAATATCTTGAGTGAGTGAGCAGAAAACTGATTTTATTTCAAATAAAGCTTAGCTATTCAGCTCTAAGGAATAGGAGAGAAATGAATGGAAACCCAAGCTACTATTACTGTTTACGGAACCCAAGCTTGTACGCCAGGTCTAGTGGGGGCTGGTGGAGCTGGTCTGATAAAGAAGGGAAAGAGCAGTTTTGGTAGGGGGCTTGCCAGACTGGTCAAGGAGGCTTTAAACTAGATGTGTTGGGGGAGGGGGGCATCATTCCATCCCAACACACTCAGTCAGTTGCCAGCACCTATAATAAATGCTCGGAGTGATGTAGAGATATTCCAGCTTCTCCAGCCAATGAGCCGGCTTCATTTGGAGCTCAGCTCAGATGCCTCTATACGAATGCCCGTAGCATGGGGAACAAACAAGAGGAATTAGAGATGTGTGCACGTCTATGGGGGTATGATATAATAGGCATCACAGAAACATGGTGGGATGGCTCCTATGACTGGAGTGTTGGAATGGAAGGTTACAGGCTCTTTAGAAAAGACAGGCCTGGCAGGCGGGGAGGGAGAATTGCCCTTTGTTAGGGATAGGCTGGAGAGTATGGAACTCTGTCTGGGGACAGGTGAGCAGTCCACAGAGAGTTTGTGGGTCAGGGTTAAAGGGAATATAGCTATGGGAGACATTACTGTGGGGATCTGTTACAGACCGCCTGATCAAGGAGAACCTGCGGATGAAGCACTCCATAGACAGATAGGAAAAGCCTCACGCTCACAGGCCCTTGTTCTCATGGGGGACTTCAACTACCCTGACATCTGTTGGAGCGACGGTACGGCCCGGCACAAGCAATCCAGGAGGTTCCTCGATTGTGTGGAAGACAACTTCCTTCTGCAAGTAATAGAGGAGCCAACAAGGAGAGGTGCCATGCTTGACCTCGTGCTCACCAACAGGGAAGGGCTCGTTGGAAATGTGATGCTCCAGGGCAGCCTTGGATGCAGCGATCATGAGATGCTCGAATTTGAGATCCTCAGGACAGTGAGAAGGGCATGCAGCAAGCTCACTGCCCTGGACTTCAAGAGAGCAGACTTTGGCCTCTTCAGGAATCTGCTTCGGAAGGTTCCATAGGATACAGCCCTAGAGGGCAGGGGGGCCCAAGACTGTTGGTTGATATTCAAGGATCACCTACTGCAAGCTCAGGAGTGTTGCATCCCAACCAGAAGGAAGTGCAGCAGGAGGGCCAGGAGACCTCCTTGGATGGATAAGGAGCTCCTGAAGAAAATTCAATTGAAAAAAGAGGCTTATAATAAGTGGAAGCAAGGACAAGTGGCATGGGAAGAATACAGGGATGTTGTCCAGGAAATTATGAACCAGGTTAGGAAAGCTAAGGCCCAGTTAGAATTAAACTTAGCTAGAGGTATTAAAGGTAACAGGAAGGGATTCTACAGGTACATAGCAAATAAAAAACAGACTAGGGAGAATGTAGGCCCCCTCAGGAAGCTCTCAGGAGAACTGGCTACACGGGATTTGAAGAAGGCTGAGGTTCTGAATGACTTCTTTGCCTTGGTCTTCACAGGCAAAGGTTCTGACCAAACCAACCAAGTCTTGGAAGGCAGATGCAGGGACTGTGAGAATGAAGACTTCGATCCCACTGTAGGAGAGGATCTGGTTCGAGACCATCTTAAAAATCTGAACGTGCACAAGTCCATGGGGCCTGATGAAATCCATCCACGGGTCCTGAAGGAGCTGGCAAATGAAGTTGCTAAGCCACTGGAGATCATATTTAAAAACCATGGCAGTCAGGTGAAGTTCCCGATGACTGGAAAAAGGGAAATATAACCCCCATTTTCAAGAAGGGGAAAATGGATGACCCAGGGAATTACAGACCACTAAGTCTCACCTCTGTGCCTGGCAAAATCTTGGAGCAGATTCTCCTGGATGGCATGCTAAGGCACATGAAAATCAACAAGGTGCTTCATGACAGCCAGCATGGCTTCACTAAGGGGAAATCCTGCCTGACCAATTTGGTGGCCTTCTATGATGGGGCTACAGAATTGATGGACAGGGGTAGAGCAGTTGATGTCATCTACCTGGACTTGTGTAAAGCGTTCAACACTGTCCCACAAGACATCCTTGTCTCTAAATTGGAGAGACATCAATTTGATGGATGGACCACTCGGTGGATAAAGAACTGACTGGATGGCCGCATGCAAAGAGTTGTGGTCAATGGCTCAGTGTCCGGCTGGAGACCAGTAAGGAGTGGTGTCCCTCAGGGATCGGTGTTGGGACCGGTCTTGTTCAACATCTTTGTTGCTGACATGGACAGTGGGATTGAGTGCGCCCTCAGCAAGTTTGCCGATGACACCAAGCTGTGTGGTTCAGTTGATACCCTGGAGGGAAGGAATGCCATCCAGAGGGACCTCGACATGCTTGTGAGGTGGGCTGATGCCAGCCTCATGAAGTTTAACCATGCCAAGTGCAAGGTCCTACACCTGGGTCGGAGCAATCCCAGGCACAGCTACAGGTTGGGCAGAGAACAGATTCAGAGCAGCCCTGCGGAGAAGGACTTGGGGGTTTTGGTCAATGAGAAAATGAACATGAGCCAGCTTCAGTGTGCGCTTGCAGCCCAGAAAGCCAACCATATCCTGGGCTGCATCAAAAGGAGCGTGACCAGCAGGTCGAAGGAGGTGATCCTGCCCCTCTACTCTGCTCTTGTGAGACCTCACCTGGAGTCTTGTGTGCAGTTCTGGTGTCCTCGACATAAAAAGGACATGGAACTGTTGGAACAAGTCCAGAGAAGGGCCACAAGGATGATCAGGGGACTGGAGCACCTCCCGTATGAAGACAGGCTGAGGAAGTTGGGGCTGTTCAGCCTGGAGAAGAGAAGGCTGCATGGAGACCTCATAGCAGCCTTCCAGTATCTGAAGGGGGCCTATAGGGATGCTGGGGAGGGACTCTTCATTAGGGACTGTAGTGACAGGACAAGAGGTAACAGATTAAAACTTAAACAGGGGAAGTTTAGATTGGGTATAAGGAGGAAATTCTTTCCTGTTAGGGTGGTGAAGCACTGGAATGGGTTGCCCAGGGAGGTTGTGAATGCTCCATCCCTGGCCGTGTTCAAGACCAGGTTGGACGAGGCCTTGGGTGATATGATTTAGCATAAGGTGTCGCTCCCCATGGCAGGGGGGTTGGAAGTTGATGATCTTAAGGTCCTTTCCAACCCTAACGATTCTATGATTCTATGATTCTATTTAGCATAGTAATGAGACTTCAGCAAAATAACCTCACAGCAGTTCAGCATCTGGATTGGCCAAAAGCCTCCACTAAGAAAATATTATTAAAATAAACACTGCATATTATTCAGCCTTGGCTAAATGCAAGGGGAAACCGAACAGGTCAGTAATTTAGAATTTTGGTTTTGTTATGATTTCCAACACCAACCTCTTAGCAAGTACTGAACTGTGACCCAAATGGACCTTACCTGATTATCTGAAGTTTGCTCGTGTGACTCATCATCAACGTCATCGAGCCTGAACACCTCTGCCAAAGATATAATATTCTTCCTAATAAGCATCTTTGTAAGACCGTATGTCTTCTCTCTTGTTTCTGAGTGTTCACTGGGTAGCACCTTCTCACTAAAATATGTATTCATGATAACAGGAACATCCGCATTTCTGAGAATCAGTTTTTGCCTGGAAAAAATAATTTCAGTGGCATCAAATCAATTACAAGGTAAACTACCAATAAGCACTATTTTAAAATGTCTTTTGTGTTGTACTTCTCTCCCCCTTCTTCTATAGTTAATACTAAAACACTCCAGGGTATGTTATCTAAATTGTAAATAACCCACCCCATACATATATTCAGCATGACCAGCCATACTAGCTCAGACATAGCCCTGGGTGAGTGGAGCTCCTCTGCACCCGGGGACAACTTACAGCTGGAAGCCATCTGAACTGACAAGCCCCATGAACCACATCTGGCTTCACACAAATCCTACTTGGTGTCTCTGCATTGTCACCGCAGAACCAAGGACATGAGGAACGCTGGCATACAGTTACTGAGGTAAAAGCCATGAACAAAATATTATTAATGCTGCTCTGTGTTAATTCAGAGTGCTGGCTCTGCTGGACCCAGCCTGGCCCTTGTAGAGCAGCACATCCCTCTCTAGTGTATGCTTCCCACTGACCCACATTCATTCCCACTGCAGCCAGCAGCAAGCTGTTCCCTCTGCTCTTTCTCCTCTCTTTTTCTAAGAGCAAAATCTTATGCATTTCCTACTATTGCCAGATATTACTTTGCCTGTGTGTATCGCTGCTGTCATAAATGCGCTCTCCAAGACCCAGTTTTGGTTTCTAGTGCCAATGTAAATTTCCAAACAGTTTTGCATGCAGCAATTTCTTGCCTACTAGGTTAAGGTAATGGTTGCAGAATCTCTAAACACACAATAATTTAATGCCAGAGCACATCTCAGTGGTGGATTTTTTCATATGCTAGTACTGCAAACACACAGTTAGAAATACACTTTCTATACTCACAGGATACAAACCTAATGAAGTCAGCTAACAAAAACAATCAGCAATCTCATTTTCTAGAGACCATCAAAACAGAAACAAAACTCACTGAGTGACTTTATTGCAGGCTGTGTTTTTCTACTGTTAGATTTTTATCACTTGGGAGTAAAACAAGGCCTCCTGCCTTGGCAGCAAAGTTGAGCTGACCCGAGTTCAGAAGTAACCTCAGGACTTCAGTCTTTAGACTGCTCAACAGTCATATTATGAAGCAAGTTTTCACATCTATGACACCGCTTGTGAAAATACAACCATGCAAAGTCAAAAGGCAAATGAAAATGAAACAAAAAAAAACACTCAAAAATACTTATTTCTGATCTCAGTCCATACAAGATTTTGACCATGAGCTGTTTTATAACAGATTCCTTCATCCACCTGAGTATGGATATGTAAATGAAAGTGAAAGCTTTTATATTTTCAAAGGCATAGAAAGAATTGCAACAAGTTATTAAATACAATCCCCATTTTTTCATAATTAGGAAAATAATGCAACAGGAAGATGACCTCTGCCTTTTAGAAAAAAGTATACATTTAAAACTAAGCTTTCCACTTGAAACTATGAATCATACACATAAATTATAAAAAAGATGTATTGCTTCTATCTGTGAACACCCATAGAAGTTATGATTTGAAACAGAAAATTCATTAAAAGTTACAGCATGAAGCTAAGTACTGAGCTTCACCACGATGCCTTACTGCCATCTGTGAGCTCTTCAGATCTAAATGAGCCATGGTTCATCCCTAAGGGACACCGAGTCCCTTGACTCCAGGTGAATGTGCTAACAAAGGTCCCAGTTAAGAGCATGACAGTAGCTCACATGGCTACCAAACTAAAACTGCCAGATAATTTTCTGCATTACAGGATTAAACCTGAGGAATTAGCTTAGTCAGCAAACCAAGAAATACCAAGAAATCTCTGATCTCATGAGATTTTTCAGGTGTCACTACCCCCTTGTTTCTGAAGAACAAAAACGTATATAAAGTTTGTTCCAGATGTCAGAACAGTTTGGGCTGTCATTACATGCAGATGTGGAATGAAAATTTTAGCACCTACTTTCTTGAGACGTCTGTGTTGAGACCCAAAGTAAACAGGAAATCTCGCTGAACACAAGACTGTTACATCACTAATGTCAGAAGAATGTTTGCTTGATCTAAATCATCTCATTCTCTAAAAAAATACTGACGTTAGTAGCAAATCATTCGCAGGAACTCTGAGGTTTATGGGTTTATTTTTATTTTCCTGTACAGATCTGTAATCAGCTTTTTTTCTTTTTTTTTTTTTTTTAAGGCAGGCAGGTTTTACTGATACCCAAATTACATGTACCATGGTTTTGCATATGCCTTCCATGCCTCGAGTACTTTTATAACCACCTAGAGCTTTCTGAGGTCAGTGTTCACATCTTTACATGAGTAATGCATAAATTAATGTCTACTCAGCATTTACACAAAGCAAAAAGTAAACATATATAACTTGCAGGAAAAGCCCCCCATTTCTTTACTGCAGTCACTGTCCTTGAGGAATTATTTGGCTAAGGCCTGCAGAAGCATCCACAGACTTAGCAGTAACTCTTCAGCTAGGTCAGAGGAATAATCACAGTAGTCCACTTATCTCTTCTCTATTTCTCAAAGGACAGATTCCTCCCAATAGGAAAGGAAAAGTATCAGCAATAAGTAGTAATAATAACCAACTGAAATGAAAGAAATAAGATAAATGTTTGCAATAAGCTCACTATTTTGTGTATAGCTGGATAGCTAAATAGAAATATTTTATGTTTATATATATAGATAATACCTTTAAAATAATTTCTATTAAATCTATATAATATGTATAATATATGACATTATATTGTATCATATCATATAATATGTATTATTCTAAACTTATATGTCTCTATAATTTCTTCAATATGAAGAGCAGAATTATTAATATAATATTAATTAATTGAATGAAAATTCTGTCCTTTTCCAGAAGTTCTTCCTAGTATTGCTTAGCTCAAGCAAGCTCTACAGGATGGGAATTTTGTTCATCATCATGGCAGAAAACTCTCCATTGCCACTATGTATTGTTCAAACTGTTCTCTTTGCAACAAAAGCAACCATGTTAGAAACACATACCCATGCCTTAATTCTTTTTTGTCTGGTTGAAAGACACAGACTAGGGCAAAGAAAGCCTGCCAAGCTGCAACAGTTGGGAAAATAAACAAAAATCAGTTCCACAAGCAACCCCTGGGGTCCTGAGCTGCATGTGTTGCCCTGTGCCTGAGACACCGTAACTGCTCACCTCAACCTTCTGTGTCTGTATGTGCAGATTCTCTATGGCCAGAAGTAGCCCTACTCTGCAGGATACACTCTGCAGCATCCTCTTAACAGATAAGGTCTTAAATGGTCATTTCAGGCCTTCTGTGACCTCTCTTACATTTCTTCTTTTCTGTCTGCTTCATTATATTTAAAAGATTGTTTTCAAAGCATGAGAGACATCATCTCATTTAGCAAATCACACAGAGACAATGGAAAGAAAGCACACTGCAGGCTTAAAAAAAAAAAACAACCCTCTCTTATACTCTATGATTTTCTTCTTGCTCAGCAAAGCATATTTGAATGTTGGATTAGTTGTGGACTTCCTTAATAATTGCCTTTAGAGGAAAGGTCATTTGTAATGACCTGAAGTAGAGACTGTGAACTTTTTATACTACAGGGCATTTCTTTTCCTGGTATGTAGACAATCAGCAGTTGCCGTAACTGGTCACATGCTGAAGGAACATGAGGCAATAATGTTATTTTTTAGCTTTTCCAGCAGCATCGTGCTTCTCTGTCCAGGACGTAGCTTGCTTTTTCTCTTCCTCCCCCCTATGATGAAATGGTTATCTGGCAAATAGCAGGAGATGTCCTTGCCTACTTCTGCATTAATTGTGGTCTATCAGCATTTGAGACGTGGAACGCTGCAGAAACTTACAGCGCAACACGCTGTAAAGTGGCTGAAGTTTGAACCTGAGGCAGGGTCTTAATCCTGCAGTGGAACAGTCGTCAGGTTTGCACTGTGGTCTCCCTGCACAGCCCATCCCCAGGCTCAGCCAGCGTGAAGCTGTGACTCTACAGCAGCAGCTAGCTCACAAACCACACGCTTCCGCTCAGTTCTGCTGACATCAAACGGCAATGCTGGTTCATGAACTCCAGAAGACTCTGGATCACTTTAAACTACAGAATATATTTTTCTGTTCGCTCTCCATGGGTATTTTATTGGGCTTTTTCTCTTTTACCAAGTGTAAAATGCCTCAGGCGTTTCTTTTTTTTTTAAAAGAGTACATTGCATTAACTGAACACTCTTAACATTTCAGTGACCTACAACATGCACTGTAATTATGAAACAGGCTAATTTCAAGCCTCAGAACAATGATTTCTCCATAAAGGAGGTTTAACACCCACCAAGTAGGACAGTAGTAGTACGTGCAGGATCAGAGCATGCCAGAGCCTTACACTGCTGCCCAGAAGCATGAGGAATCAACCCTCACAGGGACACCGTACAGGGCCCATCCCTAACTTCTAGGAACTGCTCCATATTTTGCCCAGTATGAGGGAAGTTGCTCATGCTGCCCCTCACTTGGGTTTGAGTGCCATTTGAAATGTTGCACCTGTGAAAAATTGTAACATGTCCAAGAAGTCCCTGAGCACTGACAAAATAATGATTTAAAAACCCCTAAATTTCCCAAGTCCAGGCAGATCTCTGCCCACCCTCCACTCAAGGTTGGTAGCTCTCTTCCCAATATGTAACCCAAATTCAAAAGTCACGTGGAACAGACCACAGAATTTTTATATACGACAGAGAAATCTCACCACTCACGTGTGAGCCTGCATCAGCATCATTTACCATTGCTTGAATGATCTGTGTTTGTGAGCTCACACTTTCACCATGCAAAACTTCTTCCCCTGCCCCAACCTCAAAGACAGAAAGCAAAAATCAGCTGGTAATCTTTCCTTGAAATTATCTTATTTAAAGCAACAGATTATTGTGGAACAAGTTTGCAAGCTCGATTCTTTTCCCCATGATGAAATAGTGTTAATCAATGTCCAGAGTCATAGATGTCGAATATACCATTCTCAACTGTGTCAGGTTTCCAAACAAA